CTACCATCACAAAGGCAATGGCAAACTACTTCTGAAATCTTGTCAAGAAAATTGCAGGGATGTGTCCAGGCAGTTGTAAGGAGTTTTGAAAGCAAGAAGAAGAATTAAACAGATATGGCAACAAATACATCATTGTCTCACTCTCTTTCCTATTGTGAGCTACACTGTTGTTTCAAATTCATTATTTAATAATAGTTGTTTGATTCATTGTAAAAGCCCTCAGAAGAATAATCAGGAGATTTGACATACCCATTAACCTTAATGTAGACAAGACTGCTTCAAATCTAATTAGGACATGAAAATATTGGATGAGGGGATAGATGGGGAACTCATCAAATTTGCAATGACACCAAGCTGGCAGGAATAGCCAACACTCCAGAAGATAGTCTTAAGATACAGAAGGATATTGACAGACTCGAACATTGGTTGCTATCTAACAAAATGAAATTCAATGGTGAAAAAAGTAAGGTTCTATATCAGCGGTTCTCAACGTTTGTGTGACGGCGACCCCTGTCACACAAACGTTATGCGCATGCGCGGTGCACATGCGCGGCGGCGCCCCCGGAGGGGAGAAAATGGCGGATCGCCGCCTTTGGCGACCCCCGAAAAGTGGTCGATCGACCCCAAATGGGGTCGCGACCCATAGGTTGAGAACCGCTGTTCTATATTTAGGCGGGAAAAACCAAATGCACAGGTACAGTAAAGGTGGTACCTTGCTCAATAGTAGTAACTATTGGGATCTTGGAGTCCTAGTGGACAGTCACTTAAATATGAGCCAGCCGTGTTCTGCAGCTGCGAAAAAGCCAACACAGTTCTAAGTTGCATTAACAGAGATAGAGAATCAAGATCATGTGAAGTGTTACTACCACTTTATAATGCCTTGGTAAGAACACACTCGGAATACTGTATCCTGTTTTCGTCACCATGAGGTAAGAAAGATGTTGAGACTCTGGAAAGAGTACAGAGAAGAGCAACAATGATGATCAGGGGACTGGAGGCTAAAACATATAAAGAACAGTTGCTGGAATTGGGTTTGTCTAGTTTAATTGAAAGAAGGACTAGGGGTGACATGATAGCAGTGTTCCAATATCTAAGGGGCTGCCACAAAGAAGAGGGAGTCAAGCTATTCTCCAAAGCACCTGAGGACATGACAAGAAACAATGAATGGAAACTAACAAGGAGAGAAGCAACCTAGAACTAAGGAGAAATTTCCTGACAGAACAATTAATCAATGGAACAATTTGCTTCCAGAAGTTGTGAATCCTCCAGTACTGGAAGTTTTTAAGAAGACATTGGATAACCATTTGTCTAAATAGTATAGGGTTCCCTGACTGAGCAGAGGGTTGGATTAGAATACCTCCAAGGTCCCTTCCAACTCTATTATTCTATTCTATATTTGTTGGATCATTTTTGATTCAATAATGACTTTTTAAAGAATTATGCTCTGTTTACTTCTTTAAAATGGCAGGTCAGAACTTGGCTAATCCTTCCTAGCACATGACATGGCAAAGTCTAAACTGAGTATTTATTATGACATCTGAATAAAAGTGTTCTTTTTCCAATAATTCATTGCATCTAACATAAAGCTAGGATCTACCTTATATACTCTTGAATTTAATTCTACGCCTTTTTCTTCCCATACTTTCCACAAAATATTTGCCTTATGTTTTCCACAGTCAGTTCTGTGACAATTGCCTTTTTACATTCTTGGCATTCCTGCATTCCTGCACTGGGAAACTTTAGCCCCCATCTATAGCTAACAATTCCCAATGTGTAGCTAATAATTCCTTTTCTCAGACATATTATTCATCTCCTAAATCTATTTACTATGTGCAGCTCAAGACTGGCAACGATCAAATATAATGGTGATCAGCCAAACCCCTCCTGATACTTGTTATCCCATTAATAACTCATACTAAATTCAAATAACTAGCTTAGATTGAAATGGAGCATATACACAAAGTTCAGTCAGTATTGATCTCAAAATCAAAGCAAAATGAATATTTTTTATCTTGTTACAGCAGTCATTTCAAGACTACAATAGATGTAATAACTATTTACAATGGAGAAAAGTGTTTATGAATTGGCATGTATAGGGAGTTACTACCTGCTGTCTCTCAAAACTGCTAGAAAGGAAGAATATTGTATGTTAAATATTCTATTCTGATTATCCTACTAAAGTAAACAAACAAAGTATTTTGTAGAATATTAGAATTTTACCCACTTAGGAAAATTTAATGGCACTGTTCATTTTCTTCCCCTTTCCTATAGCTATAGTAGTTTTACACAAAGTAACATAAATAAGCTTCTACTGATCAACAAAACTGCTGTTGTATCTGTTTTGTTTTAAAAATGAAACCAATTAGAGCAAGTTAAGCAAAAACATTTTCCCCGCCAGTTTTCTTAAACTAAAACAGTACATTTTCCTCATTAGGTTCCTTTAGTATCTAATCTAGATGTGGTTTGCTTTTTTTATTGGATCCTTGAAATTTATTAAATGGAACCAAAGGATGACCTACTGAGATAGTGAAACTGAAACCACAGTGCAAAGTAAAAGTGGAATGAAACTATAGTATTGGAGTAGTGAAATAATTAGCATCCCTCAACATATACTTTACAAAGGATTTTTCCCATTATGGAAATTATGGATTTCTTACTATTAAGATCTTCAACCACACAAGGGGAGAGGTCAGTAAGGCCTCTAGGTTTTAAAGAAGTCCAGTATGAATTTATGTAAGAAAATAATTATTTGTCCGTAAAATTCATTTTAGGTTTGGTTCAACATATAACAAATAACTGAGTATGACTGTGAATCTTGTCAAACCCATAAAAATGTTGAATCTAAATCTAGCTTCTACACAATGCATTTCTCCTCACATAAAAACCCCATTAACCAGGCACAGTTGTCTTGGGGAATCTACTATTTTTCAAATTCCATTTCTTAACAATTAATATTAAATTATCCAATGGAAGAGTACTTTAGCGCTCTCTAAGTGTGGTAGTTCGCTTGCAGGCGTCTGACTGAAGGTATTACCTAGTGTTGTAATGCAACGTCTACAAGCAAACAACCAAGCTCAGAGAACACCAAGGATTCCCTATTAAATTATCCAGATCTGATTCAACAACTATAATCCAATATAAACAACAAAGCACTCAGCAAATTAGAAGTAGTGTGTAACTGATAAGTAGCAACCCCAAGGGAAAAAGAGATTCATAAAACTGGCTTTAGCTATTCATCATTTCAAGCCTTTCCAATTCAGTATCTAGATTTTCCTCATTTCCCTCTAGCTCTATGACATGTAATCAGGTTTTATTATTCCATCTCAAGGCCCTCCATGCCCTCCATACAATTTGGATTTGCTAATGGGCAAATGAGCCACCAAACCAATTGATAGTTTACATGAAGCTACTTAAGAAATATATTCTTGAGTTGAAATTTTCCCCATTGATATGGATTGCAAAGCTTCTGTCAATATTTAAATCATGGTTTAAAAGCTTCAGACTACCGTTACCTATATTATTTACTTTTTTTCAAAGAAGAGATTAATCCAAGATATATTCCCACAGCTCCTTTTGGTGCTACTGCAATAAACTCAGACTCTGACTTGGAAGAATCCTTAATTTCCCGGCTGAGCCAGTCAGCCATGATGCCAACTGTGACAACAGCTTTTGATTATGGACAGTGGCCCATTACAAAATGGAACAGAGCCAAGAATACATTTCATGAAGTCACCAAACAGCTGCTAGTCCATCACACCTCCTGGCTATTAAATCTCAAGGTTGTATTTGAACCTAATGAAGAGGCAACACACTTTTGATTGGATTGCTTTTTTGGTAAGGATGTTTAATCTCACTTTCAAATCCTTGTGTAAAATAAATGGAACCAATTATATATCCGTACTAGTGTGCTTGGAATCTATACTGAAGAAACATTTTAAAAAAATACCTGAAATAGAAACATTAGTGTAACTGCTTAAGGTTTCTATAACAGTGCAAAATGACCCTTTTAATACATTTTAAGTATGACCGGAGAGTATTTTTCTGTAGCACAGCAATACAAACAAAAATGTAGTAAGGAATCATTCAGAAGCAATCTGCCTGCAACTTTCATCCTGATAAATCATCCAGCATAATTAAGAATTGTCTATACTTTGCCTGTTATAAAAAAAGAAAAAGGAAATAATACAGACAAATATGCTGACCATCATTTTTAGCCAAATACTTTACAGGAAAAAAAGGAAAGAATAATACATAGTTGTTTTTGATAGAGAGAATGACTCTTTGCGAGGGGAATGAAATTATTCCATCTCAAAGTTTCCTTAATGCATTAACATTATTTCTTCCAATGGAAATTCAGAGTCCATTTTTAAATAACCTGTAACCACTGAACTCACATTACGCACTCTCTCTTCCATTTCTCATTATTCTTTCTCAAAGAGCTATGAATCTTAAGTTAGAAACAATCTAGCTTTCTGATATGTGATGTTGGATTCTGTGAATTTTCTGCTCTACTTTGCTTTTAAAATAGGCTCACCATACCATAGTCCTGGGTAACCTGATAAAACTGACACGGCATTCACAGCATTTCTTATTTCTGAATTCTGTAAAACAAAATTCTCTCACCTATGATTGTTAAGCCTGTGGGATAATCTGGTAAAATTGGTTTTAGGCACTATAACCTTCTTTGAACATTGCAGCTCCTATAACCTGTCATCCTGCACAGGAAATGGCTTTCACTTCCTATAATGTCTACCCAGCTTTTTCCATCTTGGCTAAGGGTGACAGGAACTGATGTCCAAACCTTCTGAAGAGCACCAGGTTGGGGAAAGGTTGAAACAATAGCTTTTCTTTGGCTTCACCATAGCTATTTAATTGGAATTAATTGGTCCATTGCATTCAATAGGCGTTACTTCCAAGGCAATGTATTTAAGAGCATCCCATGATTCTAATGCTTTACAGGAAGTGGCTCAACCAAGTAAGTGTTAAAAGGAAGATCCTACCTTTAGCAATGAGTTCCTCCACATCTTGGTCAAATCCCAGCCGATGGCACTTCCTCCAAAGTCCCATGTTAGTAGAATTATATTGCCTGTTGCACTCATCAACGGCACTCATGGCAAAGAGTTGCCTCTTGTTTCTTGCCAAGAGAAGTTTCCCTTCCCAATGGTCCAGCTTTGACCTACTGGCACGGAGGGGCAGGTTATTGTTAGAATTATAAATGAAGCCAGGGTCATTCCGCCTCGTGGTGAAGGTTTTGCATCGTTCCCGATGTTTCCTGGCATCCGTTTCATACCAGTGGTCAGAGCAGATGGCCACGGCTAGCATGCCCAGAGCACACAAAGCTAAAGAAAGGCCAGCATAAAGTAGCAATCTTCCAGCAGCCATACCTTATCTTCACAGAAACACCACCATGGGCATCTTTACTTACAGAGAAAGCCCAGCTCCAGGGCGGGTATCAGAGGGCACCAACTGCTATCAGCAGTTATTACACAGAAGTGAAGACAAAGTCATCAACCACAGTTTTGAGGGGGTGGGGATGGGGAAGAAACACTTTTGTCCAGAAATAAACAACCTTGGGCATTCATTCACTCCTGGAGTAAGAGTGTTGTCAAGGGTGGGGCAAAGAAAAGGCCAGAAATTGTGAAGGTTCCACTTCAATCAACAAGATGCCCAAGAATAAGTGGTAAAGAAGTGTGTCCTCTCTGTGGCTGGGCATTTGGATCAATCCACTGGTGAATTCTTCCACTTTTCCACGTTTGGAACAACCAGACCAGCAACGGGTCTCTCTTTTTGCTCAGGCGTTTAAGGAGCGTCACGTTCCAGGGGCACAATGTTTTGGAAATCAAGGTCCAACCAACAAATTAAAGAAAGGCCTTTAAAACCTCCACGCAGCCAATGGTTTAGCTCCAGTCCTTGGAAGAGGATGCGGTGGAAAAGGTGACCGTCCGTTCCCACCCCCTTCTCTCTCTCTTTTCGATCCGAAATATTATTTTTGCAAGAATCCCTATAATGGTTGGTAATGGTGGCTCGCTTGCCAGGATGCCCGGAGGAAAGTGGGGGGGAGGGGTGGGGGAGGCGGGGGGAGCCGCCAAGGGTCGACCGCAATGAGAGGCTCAGGAACACACCCACACAAACACCCCTTCCTACCTCGTCCTGCCCACGACCCTAACGCGGGGATCCACTGGGTCCGCAGGCTTCCCGCCCTCCGAGCCCCGAGCTTTTGCGGCAACGCAGGGGCATCTTGGTTGCCTTCCCGGGTCCCTGCCGCCGCCGCCGCCGCCGCCGCCACTCTGCCTGGACCAGTTCAAGGCGCCCCGGAGGCTTGACTTTGCCTCTTCGCCAGGAAGGAGTAGCCGCCGGATGACAGGTGATGTGGCTGGCTTCTCAGGGCGTCGGGAGGCGGAAAGACGCAGCCCCGCTTTCCACAGCCTCCCCAAGAGGAGCGGGCGGCAGACGGCTGGGGGGCGAGCAGTAGCAGCAGCCCACCCCGGCGGGCTGGGGGAAGAGCTGCGTGGAGGGCGCCGCTTCCTTCTGCGAGACCCAGCCCCGGAATCTTTTGTGTTCGGTGCGCGCCTGCTTCCCCTCCTCTTCCTCCTCCTCCTCCTCCTCCTCTCCGGCAAAATCGCCCCCTCCTTGACGGTGATGAAGATGATGAGGATGGTTTAATATATCTATACATGCACACCCGCTCGCGTTCACAGGCAACCCGCCGCGCTGGCCGCTTTCTGCGGAGCCCGAGATTGCAGAGCTACGTAGCAAACCCACACACACTCCCGGACCGCTGGGGCATGGTCGCTCTTCCGCGCGCTCCTTCGGCGATACCAAAACGGGGCCTTTTTTTTTTTTTTTTACGCGCTAGAAAAGGGGGCCGGCGGAGAGCACCCTCCCGGCGCCAAGCATCCCGGAGGAAGGAGAGGCGAGGGCCGGGGCTGCCTGGCTGAAGCTCTGCAGCGCTGCCCTTCCCCGAGGCCTGACCTCGGGCGCCGAGCGAGCCTCAGGGGCTGCCGCCGATGAGAGGCGCTCCTCGGACGCTCGCGACCGTTGGCTGGGCTGGAGCTTTGCCTCCATGCATCCTCTCCACCACCCCCCCCCCCGCAGGTCTCTAAGAGGTGGAGGTGGGGGCTCGCTCACCCGCGTGGCCGAGAGAGCGAGGGCAGCCGGAGGCGACGGAGACAGCCCGGACGCCTCGGGAAAGGCATAGCGGAGGAACGGGGAAGGGGGCAGCGGTGGCGGCCGCCGCCCGCGGTCTTAAAAACTCGGGCTTAATCAGACGAAGGAAAGTGGGGCCAGGTCTCTGCTGCCCACCTGGGAAGCTTGTCTCCGCCCCACGCGCCTCCCGCAGCCTTGGCTGGAACCGACAGCCAGAGAATACCGAATATCAAGCCCAAACCTAGTGATGTCACCTATTAAACGTGAGCCTCATTTCTTATTTCACTTGCCTCCTTAAAGCCACACGCCTTCGTCTTAAATCTGCCCTTCTGCCAAGGGAGCAGAAAGGGGGGAGGGGCGTCTAATGTGAAGCCACTTACTCCCCCAAAGCGATTGTGGAAAACCAACGTGTGTGTGTGTGTGTGTGTGTGTACACATATCCCCCACCTTCTGCATGTGGTGCCTGCAGGCTGGCCTGGAAACGTATGACTTTGTGTTCTGAAAGGTGTCAATGTTCATCATAAAGCAGCAAATTACACCCTCCGTTTTATTATGATCTGTGACTTGCTGTTTTTAGGTATCCTGTGAGCTTTATACACCGGAGACAAATTCCTGGTGTGTTCAATCACACTTGGCCAATATACAATTCTGTTCTTTGTAGGTGTGTGTTCATATGTGAACACAAATATGAGAGTATTCAGAGTTTCATCCCGGCTAGCTCCATTTCTCAAGCTTAGATTTCCCCAGCTGGGGGAAAAAAATGATTAATCATGAACCCCATTAGAGTGCTGTAGTCTAAGGAGCATTGCGAATTACCATCTACAGTAAAAGTGTGATCTGCATTATTAATATCACTGATGCACAAATATTTTCCAGGTTACAGTCTGTGGCTACACAGACTTTCTAGCTATTCTACATGTACAGAAAGCACCTTTTATTAATACAATTCTCTTTGGGGGGAAGGGGGTATTTTTCAGCAGCAAATTGTGTTTAATTTAATTGAAATGGAGTGATGAGAATATTAGGACAATATCAGCATCTGATTAAAAATAACCTCAGGTTTTCTACAGACTAAGAGATAAAGCTGGTTTTGTTGACAGCGTGCATTCTACATAGATAGAATCAAATTATTATATAGGTTAGTGTTTGCATCAGAAATCTAATGAATAATTTATTCTCTGGAAGGAGAGTAGCCAGTTTTCACACTTAGCTGATCATATTTAGGAAATCATAAAATCCACTAAGTGGAAAAGTATGATATGGAATACAGCAAAGGGATTTGAAGTGCTTAGAATATTTATTGAAGTGTTTCAGGAGCCATTGCCCAAAGTTTTCTTTTCAGTATAAGAATTTATCTCATTTCTTTCCTAAACAATCTCATTTCTGGTTTTTTTTACTAGCTAAGTTGATTCTGTTTATATCACCCAGCTCATTCATGGATTTTTATTCTGGATGCAGATGATGTTGTATTTCACTTGGAACTCTTCCATGCCTTCTCGCAACTATTCCTATATATATATCCACTCAATTCACAAAGCAACTGGGCAATTTGTGGAAGCATAAAAATAAGAAACTAAAAATCAAAACACAATAAACATCCAGAACAAAACACAAACACACACAGAGAGTTCTGGGTGATTAGACAGATGGACGGACGGACGGACGGACGGACAGACAGATAAATATAGCTACAGATATATAAATATAAAGGGGTGGCGTGGTGGCTCAGCGGTTAAGATGCTGAACTTGTTGGCTGGAAAGCCAGCAGCCCAGGTTTGAAACACAAGCTCCAGGTGATGGGATGACCTCCCATCCTTGCCCCAGCTTCTGCCCACTAGCAGTCTCCCCCTTGGCATGAAACCAACTAGGTAACCTTGGGCCAATCACTTTTTCTCAGCCATGGGAAAGAAGAAATGGCAAACCACTTCTGAAAAACCAAGAAAATGGCAGATTCTTATCCTGTCAATCTCTGACAATCAGACATGATTGAAGGGAAGGAAAATAAATGTTTCTGTACAGAAAACTTGGTTGTTTTGTTGTTCTTGTTAAACCATTGGCAGTCCTGGATTATTGAGCATTGAGTAGACATTCTGTTCTGCTTATTCCTACTGTGGAACAGAAATAACCCACCTTTTGGGAACTCAAGCAGGTTTGAAATATTGATCTCTTTTATGGATGCTCTCACAATTGAACTGATAGTGAGAGATTTACCTGTTTACCAAGACTGCCATGTGAATGTGATCGTTTATGTTGTCCATTTTAAGCCCCTGAGATTCTTTATTGCATAGATCTTTCTTCCAGGTAGATACCCACATTTCTGGATAAAACAGACTGCAGTGATGCATCCAATTTGTTTTCTGATGGTGCCTCTGGAATCTATTTGGGACCTTGAGGCATTGTTTTAACATAATGGTTGAGGAATCCACCAACATTATTGTTCACACGAGACTGAAATAGAACAAAAGCTTTTTGGGGAGGGTTCAACATCTGCTCTATGAGTTGGTCTTGTCCAGGGCTTGATGATCCTGATCAAACTAGCAATGTTTTTATAAAACATTATAAAACAGTGCAATTTGTTTTTCTGGTTTTTTTTTCTACCATTAATAAAGTGATGTGCATCCCTGTCTAAATAGATCATTATTAAATTCCCTTCCACCCATCTATCCTTCACTCTACCAAAACCTGGGAGGGGAAAACAGGCATAATGGCTGTGGATTAGCAAAGGAATGCAAATTGAAGAAGTAGAATGATTATGGAGGAGCAGCGAAGTTGGAAAGCCCTTCATATGTGGATTGTGTTTCATACAACATGCAAAACCTGACTTAATAAAACATAAATGCTATATTGCACTTATTTCATTCAAACATTTATGGCTAAACTAGGTGACTGAGTTACAAAATATGGTAAGACAATGCCTGGGTTTCCCATAGTACGCTAAACCACTAATAATTCTATTTTAGACAAATGTGTCATATAATCACAGCCTGCATCTGGCAGTTTGCTTCAACTAAGAATTGAAACTTGAAACTTATATTATGGCTAAATACCAGCATAGAACAATACTATAGTAAATATTTTTTTTAAAAGGATAATCAGATGAAAAAGGGGAAACATACAAAACTGGTCAGTATTTAGTTAAAACAGCTGCAATAGGTATTAATAATCAAAATAATAAAAAGTCAAAGCTACAAGAATATATAATAGCCAAACTAATTCTGAATAAAAAGAAAATGGATACAATTAAAACAAGAATTATAAAATGGTTTTGTGTGTTTCCTCTTCATCATATGACACTTTTTATTGTAATATTATATACTGTTTTTTAGGGGACATAATAAGCCATCAGTTAAAAGCTATTTAGAAATCAGTTGGTTAAACACTACAACTGAAGGAGACCCTCTGAACACCATTTGGGAAAGAGTTCCATAGAACAGGTGCTATCTCCTGCTTTATACCAGCCTTACTTGCCCTAGAAGAGGACTCTTCTAGCACAAGCAGCTTGGTATGGACATGTCTGCTACCCCAAATAACATGCCCCTTCCAAATTGGCTTAGTCACAAAAAAGGAATACAGGTAATCCCGACTTACAGCTATTCATTTAGTGACCATTCAAAATTACAACAGCATTCAAAAAAGTGACTTATGAACATTTTCCACACTAACAACCATTACAATATCCGCACAGTCACGTGATCAACATTCGGACTCTTGGCAACTGGCATGTATTTATGACTTGAAACTCAACATTAAGAAAACCAAGATCATGGCATCCGGCCCTCTCAATCCCTGGCAAATAGATGGGGAAGAAATGGAGATAATGACAGATTTTATCTTCCTGGGCTTCAAGATCACCACAGATGGGGATGGCAGCCAAGAAATTAAAAGATGCTTGCTCCTGGGGAGAAAAGGTATGG